CAGCAAGCAAAAAACAAGCGCATGTGACAAGTGTCGGCTTGAACTGTAACAATACAGCTACAAGTGGAATGGTTGCGCACCATGCAAACGCTCCTTATGTACTATCGCTTCGCCCTCATTCCGCTTTTACCTAGAAATCTTTGGTTCTTGAAAAAGTGGCCTGCCTTTCCGCCTCAGCAGTGGAATGTTAGCTAATGAGATGGGAAGGCGCCGACTTAAAAGTTCCACATTCAACATATTCTCCAACACCATTCCGTTCTTGCACCAGCTAGGACGCTCTACATTTTTAAGGAAAAGCGCTGCTTCTTTCTGGAAAACTGGATTATGACAAGAAGCAGCACCGTACTTCTTCCCAAACCACTGCGCCACTCCCCCTTCCCCTCAGTCTCTTCACACACCCTCATGGTACTCGGATGTGCTGATCCAAATTTAACCATCTCGTAACAAAACTTTTCATACAAAAGGGAGAAACGATGAAGCACTGCAAGAGGCAATGACTGTTCTTTGCGGAGAAGCCTCACCAAAGCGACATTTCGTGTAGATCGTCTTCGTTGAAAACTTTGAAATAAGTCCAGATTGCGGCAAAACATACAAAATTAGCGAGGAAGACAAAGAAATATGAGAGATTAGACATCTGCAACAAAGACAATCCGTTGAAATCTGTTCCGTACGGCTCCTGGTCATTCCTAACCAGGAGCTAATAAAAAATTTTTCATTTCTCTTTATTAATACATAAAGCCTGTAGAGAAGACTGGGGTTACACCTGTTGTTCCGTAAATCAACGTTTGAATTGCCATACTTCAAAACATGCGCGTTGGATTTACATGCAATAGGGTTAGAATGGGAGCGCCGATTATACGGCAAAAACGTTTATTTTTTCTTAATTTTAGCATACAGTTTAACCAGTCATTAAGCTACGCTTGAAAGTTTTACCACAAACACTCGTCCGCACAAAGTACCACTATCCTTTTCGGACCAACTATCAGGAAAAGATGAAACCAAACAGAACAACATGACAGTTCAAAGACTCCAAACAGATAAAGGCACAAACGAGCACTACGGATCGGGCGAACTGCCACACTTCTCGTGGCTTTCACATGACATTGCGGCACTGATTTCCCCACTCGCACATGCGCTAGAACTTTAGTTGTCTGTACGAGTAGTAATAACATGCAATACCATCGAGAACTCGAGCAACAATCACAAGGGGTCAGAACAGCGGCTGATTCCACATGCTTCCGTCTTCTTCCTGATGCAAATAGAAATAGCTAAGGATCGTCAAGAACATCACCAACGAGCCGAGATCAGCGCAAACACACGCCAGCCATTTGATCTGAATAACATAGTTGCGGTGCCAATCACAACCGTGCATGCACAAACAAGCAAGCACATCCGTTAACGCCCATGATCAAGAAAAATAATCGCTCTGCCTAACCGCTTTGCTTCTTCGTGGCGCATCTTTGCAGCGCTAGCGCCGTTTGTCTCTTTTAGCACATTGCAGTGCAGTGTTACTGCACCGTGTCATAGTAAATTTTGAATGAAAAAGCCCCTTGCTTCCTTCGTCCATGAACAGTGGGCATCCACCAAAACGGTGAGCAAATAAAACTGGTCGGTGGCGCATCGTGAACTGAGAAAGGCAGGTGGAGCTGCAGCGAGCGATCATAACTGTCCGCATGCTGCTCTTGGCATGCATGCTCCTCGGATGCAAAGCAACGACGAAAAATGCGGGTGAGCGAACAACAACAAGCATCAAGCAACAGCACATCGCTGATTACGAAAATGCATGGATTCCAGAGAATCAGATTCGTAGCAGAGCAACACTCACCACTCCAGCATGTGCAAGCACCATTGGCAGCGCAAATGCCGATACAATAATACCAGTTGTTATGAACAGAGCGAATTCAACGCATGCCGAGGTACCGGCCATATCCTCCTGATAGCGACGAGCTATCGACAGTGGCATTGGTACCAGCACATAGAATACAACAACGAACATTGGCCACCATGTCCTGCAATCAAAATGAAGAAAAAACCTCTCTCCGCCAACATGATTCAACTGCAAACATGCCCGATTTGTGATGCCCGAACAGGCCACTATGTGTCATGTGCAAGAAGATATTTTTGGATGCAGTCGGTGCGTGTCTCATCTCTAAGCTTTAAGAATAGATCGATCGAAAGAACGCTACTCATAAGTCACTGT